TGTACCGTGCTTCGAACGCCCATAAAGTGTTTTTATTTCCTCTGCTTTCTGTATTTCTTTGAATTTTATTTGTTTTGCATTTATTGTTCCGTATGTCATTTGTTTGTTCTGTAATTTGTTTATGTTCGGAATTAAATATATTCGTCTTAGTTTTTGCATTAAAAATTATATTTTGTCCTGTTATGTTCGAAACTGACCAATCAGAGAGAGAGAGCGCGGTTGTTTAGTTTTCAGGCCTCCGAAACCGGGTCCGCCGTTTAGACACTACCATTTTAAAATCTAAATCTAAATCTAAAATCTAAATCTTGACTCCTAAGGGACACGTAGTAGGGGGCGCTTGCATAGAGGTATCGGTACCCTGTGACAGCTGGCACGCTGGAAGTACAAATTTAATCAACCAAGTTTGTTTTGATTTGATATTTCTGTATTTTCATAGATATAGAATACAGTATTCTATATCTATGGTATTTTTTGCGTTTTGTGAGTATCGCAATAGAGGAGGTAGATAGTAAAATGATTGTGGTACCAAATGCAAAATTGTCATGATGATGATCATGAATCATGATGTCGATGTCGATGATCATACTCGCAGCTAGGGCATGCATTATGCATACGCCCTGATACGGTACCTCCAAGAGTAGATAATAACAACTGTTGATAATATTTGTATTATCATTTAACAATCAACTAATTGTTATTATCTAGGTACTCTTGATACCTCCCAAAGTGACGCGTCGTCGACCGACCAATCTGAGCGCTCGCAGCTAGCTCAGCCTCAAGCACTAAAGCTGATGCGATGTTTGGTTTTGTGGTTGCATTATTTAAGCTGGCTATCGTAAGTGGATGGTTACTGGTAAGGGTTAGGGTTAGGGTTTATAGCTTTATATTTATCAGCTTTAGTGCCTGAGCTGCGAGCGTTCCGATTGGTCGGTCGACGAGGCATCAATTTAGGAGGTATGCAGGCCCTAGCTGCGAGTGATGAACATTCAATGATTCATGGTACTGGCAGTGGCAGTGCTTGTACTGCTCATAGAAATAATATAGATAACCTATAGTTATGCGGAGAGGGCCTATGTCCCACAGGGTACTGCCGGAACGTACCCTGGTACTATCTAATATGCCGGACCGTACCTCGCCTACTCCACTAACGAGTCTATAGGGAGTCGCCTATGCCTACTCCACTAACGAGTCTATAGGGAGTCGCCTACGCCTACTCGGCTACTCTCTAACCCTAACCCTAACTCTAACCCTAACCATATCAGATAGTTACCAGGGTACGTTCCGGCAGTACCCTGGGGGACATAGACCCTATGAGCTATAGTTATCTATATTATTTCTATGGTACTGCTACTGCCAGTACTGGTGGTAGTATTTTGGTTCTGCCACTGCCTCGGTGGCAGTGCGTGGCACCCTGGTAGTGGTAGTGCTAGCCCGATCAGTGTGACTGCAGACTGTCCCCTCATAGGGTCTATGTCCCCTAGGCCCTAGGGTACTACCGGACCGTACCCTGGTAACTATCTGATATGGTTAGGGTTAGGGAGTAGGTGTAGGCGACTCCCTAGACTCGTTAGTGGAGTAGGCGAGGTATGGTCCGGCATATTAGATAGTACCAGGGTACGTTTTGGTATACCGGACCGTACTCAGGGTACGTTCCGGCAGTACCCTGCAGGGTTCTCCAAGAGCACTTATAGCCTGGCGGCCCGCCAGGCTATCGTCGAGCCCCGCCATCCGAAAATGCACCTGCCACTCTAAATATCATAGCCGTCATGCTAAATATCATAGCCCCCAGACCCCCCTAGCACGCAAACCGCCTTCGGCGATTTGCAACTAGGACCGTAAAGGCAGCACCCCTATGCTATAATGAAAAAGCTTGGAGAACCCTGCCCTGGGGGACATAGACCCTCTCAGCATCACTGCGTGGTATAAATCCTCCTTATGGCAAACATCTCATCTTTACATTGTGTGTGGGCTAGTATGGCACGTCATAACAGTGAAACTGATTGGCAATGTGCAATGTAGTATCGGAACGTTTTGGTGTGGGGTGGGGGATGTATGCAGTCCTAAAGTGGCATACCGTTTGTAGTAGAAACAAATGCCATCCATTATTTAATTGTCTTACATATTTGATTACGATCTTCAATAGTTTTGGAAACATTTTTAGCTCATCTGACGTAGTCAGATGCAGCTTGTAGAATCGCATGATTGTCCGTCCGTCTGTTCGTGCGTCCGTCAACAGTTGGGCACAAATCTTAACCGCTCGACGTACGGTCACGATATTCGGGACGTGGGGGGGGGGATCGTGGGATCGACCAATTTGGGGGTCAAAGGTCAAGATGTGTAAACGGAGGGAATATTTCCCCCTTAACTTAAGGTATAGGAGGAAATATGGAATTGCGGCACAAATCTGAACGGCTTGACCTATGCTCTTAATATTCGGTGTATAGTGTGATGGGCAGGAAACCCATCACCAGTGCGAAATTGGAGGTCAAAGGGCAGTGGGGGAAAGGTCAGATATCAGACATTTTCTGAGGACGTGGCCTAACGAACAGAGTGATAAACCTTTTTGTTTCAGCGCTGACCTACCATTTTTATCACATCTGACATAGTCAGATGCAGCTTGTAGAATCGCATGATTGTCCGTCCGTCCGTTCGTGCGTCCGTCAACAGTTGGGCACAATTCTTAACCGCTCGACGTACGGTCACGATATCCGGGACGTGGGGGGGTGGATCGTGGTATCGACCAATTTGGGGGTCAAAGGTCAAGATGTGTAAACGGAGGGGGAATATTTCCCCCTTAACTTAAGGTATAGGAGGAAATATGGAATTGCGGCACAAATCTGAACGGCTCGACCTATGCTCTTAATATTCAGTGGATAGTGTGATTGGCAGGATTGGAGGTCAAAGGGCAGTGGGGGAAAGGTCAGATATCAGACATTTTCTGAGGACGTGGCCTAACGGACAGAGTGAAAAACTATTTTCTTTCAGCGCTGACCTACCATTTTTATCACTTTATTGAAAGGATCATGAAATGTGCTGTCCACTGACGTGCGAAAAGTAAGTGTCTGATAACCTTTTGACCCTCAAGAGGAGGGTTAAACATGGATTCCTGAACTGCCTCAATGATGTCACAGTCATGGCACATCCATAATCTCCTTGATAGCCCAATGGCTACAGCACAGGATTACGGCTCAAAGGTCCTTGGATCGAATCCCATCAGATTTTTTATTATTTACCTGTTTTCTGTATTTTTCTATCTTTATCCATTTAACTATTTTTTTTCAATTAATGCAAATATTTACATGATTTATTTACAACAATTTCATAACAACAAATAATTTTTACAACAATTAATTTTTTTTTTTTAATAGGGTTAGGGTCACAATGCACAATAAAACAGGAGTTTCAGGCACGCGATTTGTATCAACCAATGGGATTTGGGAGGTATGCAGAATGCAGAAGGTTGCTGAAATGATGTGTACGCAACTGCGTATCTGCATATCTGCGCCTAACAAAGGTGTCACTATGCACGACTTAAATGTTACGTTTATAACCGTAGCAACATACCTCAGATGAGCCCAGACGCTCTGCAGCTCTTGTTTAAATATTTTTACACAGCTTATCATTAGGAACTTTTTAGTGAATATTGAGCCACAAATTTTTCATGTTGCATCCATGTGAATGTTGTAAAGATGCACCTAAAGATGTAAATTAATGTTCCCCTTTAACATATTTCTCTGTTTGTTCCAGGAATATGGAAGCCATGTCGGATAAAGATCAATTTCAAAATGAAGATTACTCCAGTAGTGATGAGGAACAGTGGGAAGCTGCTCATACAAACATCTTCATTGAGGGGAAAACTTGTAACAAATCTATCATATCCAGTAGTAGTGGTGGGCAAGGCTTGATGCCAGAAAAGCATGGTCAAAAAGATAGTACGATAATGAACAGAATGAGACTGGATGATAATAAAGCAGGTATGCAGGGGTTGGACAGAGATCGTATAAGCCAAGTCATTCTTGAGGCATCAAAGGGATCGAGGTTCTATGAAAATGAACAGAGAAAAGAAGTGCAGATGCAGCAACGACTGTCTCACCAACAGGATGCACTGAGTAAGCTGACACCTACTGATATCCAAGAAGCAGAACGTGAAGCTTTCAGCTTGGTGGAAGTGCTGCAGGCGACACGGGATCTAAACAGAACTATTGTTCACATTGACATGGATGCATTCTACGCATCAGTGGAAATGCGAGATAACACAGACTTGCGTAGCGTACCCATGGCAGTTGGTGGAATGTCCATGTTATCAACTTCGAACTATCTGGCTAGAAGGTATGGCGTCCGGGCTGGAATGCCTGGCTTCATTGCTAAAAAACTCTGTCCAGAACTTGTGATCGTTAATACACATTTTGAGAAGTATAGGGAAGTGGCTGCTCAAGTAAGAGAGATATTTAATGAATATGATCCAGGATTCTGTGGGATGGGACTAGATGAAGCTTACCTTGACCTCACCGATCACCTTGAGAATAGACGGCTACTGACAGACAAGGAGAAACTTACATTTGTGCATGCTATATGTGAATGCAGTACAGAAACATGTCCACAGGATGTAGCTGATAAAAGTCGGCATGATTCTGCTGATCGTTTAGCTGCACCCAAACAACTGCAGTGTGAAAGATGCTTAAAGTACAAAGAGGAAGCTCCGATTACATTTGGTGTCAGCGATGAAGAAGCTGTGAAAGAGATGCGCTTTCGCATAGAGCAACGAACACAGTTGACAGCAAGTGCTGGTACGAAAATGCTTTCACAGTACAATTTATCGTTTATTTTATCTCCGTGGATTTGCTCATGTTTAGGCCAAAAATTATCTGAAAAATAATGTGTGAAGCTACTATTTCTGTGGAGTGTCAAGCAGTGTAATCTATCGTGAATCCAATGCTATTGTTGCTTTGATTTTAATTTATCCTTACTAGGTATTGCTCCAAACACCATGTTGGCAAAGGTGTGCTCTGATCAAAACAAACCAAACGGACAATATAAACTCACAGCAGATGTAGACAGCGTGATGGAATTTGTACACAGTTTACCCATTAGAAAGGTACACCTTGGTGATGATAATAGAGTGTGACAATATGCATTTAGACAGAGTGTAATTATATTATGAATTGGAAAATTAATTCGTTATATACTAACAGGGAGACTTTATTGTATTGATTAGACTGTATTGCAACAGCATAGTTTTCATTGATTGATTGCTATCTCCTGATTTGGCGGTGTAGGTTATTAGCTCCTTAGCAAAGCTAACGTATTTCTGCAAGCACAGCAACTAAACTGCCTATCAAAGTGAAGCTGCTCTAAGGTACAGTCACTCACATAGATCCAGACACGCATGCATATATGTTTTCTCGGCTTTTTCTGGTTTGGTCCATCCTGGAAAATGGCTCCCTTCTTCTCCTGCAGGTGTCAGGCATTGGCAAGGTATCGGAGCGGATGCTGGCAGACCTCGGCGTCACGACCGGCAGTCATCTGATTGAGAAGTGCGGTGTTCTCAGGCTGCTCCACTCGCAGATCTCATTCGAACATCTCATGAGAGTCGGCATGGGTCTTGGATCGACGCGACTCGATTCATGGTGATGGCCTTGACGTATATTTATTCGTTCAGTGATCGAGGAATACCCGGCAGTGTTCAGTGACATTGCTGAGCCGTGTATTATTTACTGAAGTGAAAATAGGGAGTAAAACCAACGCATGAAAAGAAGCTGGATTTTTGAAGCTCGGAAATGGGTGTAGAACCGTATTGATCATTAGTAATGGCACGTGCTATTCATTGTGTATTTGTTTGCTTGAGTCCTATGGTCTTCTAGCAGAGGCTCAAATTTTGTGAATATCATAATCGAGCAAATGCTCTTGCTTTGTTCTCATATAGGGGCAGTGAACGTAAGAGCATGAGTGTGGAGAGAACTTTTAGGGAGATACACAAACCTGATGACTTATACAGCAAGTGTGAAGAGCTCACCATAGCCTTGGCAGACGATCTACAAGAAGCTAGACTCGTGGTTCGTTGACATTGATTGGTAACTGTGCCAGCTTGAGGTTATTCATTTAATCAACAAATTTCCAGTACAACATTTTCCTGTGCAATACATTTCATATGTTCATAATAGTTTGATGCAGTATCTTGAGGTCATAAATATTTGTTTACATAATAATGTAAAGTACATAATAGTGTGATCAAGTACAGATGACCTCTACAGCGAACAACGACAAAACTGAAAGTTATGTCTTATCTTCAGTCTAATTAAATAACGTTATATTCACATATTTTAAACAATGTGCTACTTTATTAATAATCAACTATGGTTGCTTGATTTAATATGACGAATTGTCCCTCTCGTGTACCAGAGCTGAGCCAGAAGTGCGTAAAGATGCACCAATCTCTGATTATCACAGCCACAACAATATTGTATCCAGCCTTTATCACACATACAATTGACACCACATATGTATATGTATGCTTGATGTAATTTAACCTGTTCATCAAACATTGGTCAGTGACCTGCCGAAACATGCGAACATCTTTTAGGCTTTGAATGGCGTGAGAAAGCTGTTTCGCATATATGCAATTTCTGGCTGCACTGGTTTATGCACGTTTTGCTCAGTTCAGGAACGTGATATGATGAGTTTATGTGATCTTGATGCCATTTCTGATCATGTCTTTCTTGTAGGGTAAAACCATCACAGTAAAGCTTAAGACAGTCAATTTTAAAGTGACCACAAGAGCACGATCCATCGCGAGCTACACAAATAGCTATAGAGAGATTGAAGCTGTTGCTAAAGACATCCTTAAGTCGGAGATACATTCTATGCGACCAGATCCCCTGCGACTCCGACTCATGGGTACATACATGCATTTGTTCAGCAATAACCACATTGTTTCATTTCCAGAGATTTTAGCAACCACTTCCTGACCAGACATTATACAGTTGAGATCATTTCAATTACTGTAAGACTTGAGTATATTTAATTGATTTACATGAGGCACGTACATTTCTCCACTGCTTTTACAAGAACCGTAATCTGTCAACTAACTTTATTCCTTTAGTGGTAGTTTTGGAACAGATCTAATGAAAGTTTAAATTATTTAGAAACTGGACATTATACGCTGGTTTGACTTCATGTAGGCTCTGCAAGAGTAGATGATTGGGAACGTGGCTAATTATATTCTTCAGAATCAAGTGAAAGTTTTGATATTTGAAACAAGAAGGCAAGAGATAAATGGTTATGAATGCACTACACCTATGGTTACCTAGCAATTACAGTGGCATGGTGTACTCACATTTACTGAGCCTTGTGTTTTTTTCATGTAGGAGTGAGAATGTCGTCGCTGTGTGACGAATCTCAGGTTACTGCGCAGGGAAAGCAGCAGACGCTAACTAGTCTCTTTGCTAAGACGCACAGCTCAGCTAGTCAAACACGCACGGCACAAGTATCTACCTACACTTGCCCCGTATGCAGTTCAACGCTGATGCTGACGTTATCTGGTTTCAACAGACACATTGATGGGTGCCTACAGCAGAAAGAAGTGCTTGCGTCAGAAAGAGGGGTGACGGTTGATCACAGTGAAGACTTCAGTTGCATGGAATCCACTACATGTGCTACAAGAGATGCAGATTCGAGCTTACAGAGCAGTGCTGCGTATAGTGCATCAGGCATGTCTTTTGAAGAAAGTGACAGAGAAAATAAAACATTGCCTAAGAAAGGAACACGTTTGCTAGAGAAATCTAATAGCCATACTCAGCCTGTAAAAAGCAGTCATGCTATTGGTGAAGAACAGCAAGGTAACCGTTTATGCAAATATGAAAGTCAAGGAGAAAAACAGTCTCGAAATTTTGAAAAGGGAAGCTTTACGTCCACACCTAAAGAGAGACCTCTCTCAGACTCAGCTGCTCCACCTGTGATTATGTGCCCAGTGTGCAATAAACCTCAAGAAGGCTTGTCCATGGCTAGTATGAACAAGCACATTGATGAGTGCCTGAATACATCAACAATAAAGGATCTTTTGTGTAGCACTACCTCTGACTCCAAAAAACCAGAGCGGAAGAAGCCCAGGCTGAGTCTTGCTGGTAGAAAACAGAAAGCAATAGCAAATGAACCCTCAGTTCTTCAGTTTTTTGGAGGAAAGCTCCAACAAAAAAATAATAATGCAAACTGATCTGTAGGAAATTTGTTGATATTCATAATATATGTTTTGATGAAATAAGTAGTGTTTTATAAACGGATGAAAATGTCCTAGCACCCACGTAGCAGATCCGTATTTGTGATTTATTGGTAAATGTGGTATATTATTTTTAAATAATTATAAAATTTATAATATATATTGTTGTACATATAGGGTATGTGTGTTGTACAAAATAATATTCTTTGATTACCAAGTGAAATGCTATCCTTCTATTTACCATTTCTTCTTGTTCTACGCCTTCACATGGCTTTATAAAACTGCCAACTCTGCATCTCAACAAAGCTCCATGGACCATTGTATGAATCAAAACTGCTGCAATATCTTGGCATTTAATGAAACATTACAAGTAAACCCCTAGCACAATGGGCATAGTGTATGAGAGATACATTAATTAGCTCGTTATAGGTGTGATAGTATCTCTAATCCACAATGAATATTGCTAAATAAATGTTTCTGGTATTATTTTATTTATTATTATTTTCGTTATTATTATTTATTATTATTACATCTTGGTTTGCATTTCTACACAGAATGCTGCAGTTATTCCTCCTACACATTTGTTATGTGAAATTATTATGTTATTGTTATGTGTTATGTGTTATGTGTTATATCTCCTGATCATATCTATGCTGAGCACTGATCTCTATAAATAACTTATTATTTAGGTTTTATTATAGAGATCAGTGATGGTGAGATGTACTCCTTACTGCTGGTGAGAGCTGTAATGAAAGGCACCGATAGGGGGCGCAACTGGCAGAGGTCTAATATGGCGATGTGTGTTGTGTAAACGTAATAATTATATTGAGAAACTGTTGAGTAGTTATGACAGACGTAAAGGACACGCCAAAGGGCCACCGAAGCCAAAATGACGACGATGAGGAAATGTCTATACGAGCAGGTTGGTTAAGCGTGTAACCGTGTAAGGAATATCGTCATCATGAACATGTTCATGATAGGGTCTAATCTATCATCTGACAGCTAGCTATGTCACCCAGGGCCTTGACCCAGGGTACTATCGGAGTAGCTCTAGTACTATAGCCCGCGTACATTGACAATGTACGCGGGCTATAGTACTAGGGCTACTATCGGAGGTAAACCGACCAGGCTCTCCGACTGTTACACGGATGACAGGCACTTGGTGTTGGAGCGTTTCAATAAAATATAATGTTAAATAAATACGAAATCTATTTACTACCAAAGTCTTATATGTTTCTCTACTCTCTTTCACCTATTATTGCCGACAATTTCCTATAAATGCCGTCCAAATGCTCATCTGCAACACACGCTGGCCGCCGCACGCTAGCTAGCTGCTGCACACTGAGTGACACATAGATATAATATAGTATATAGAAATATAGATACAATATGGTCAATAATGTAACCCAACAACAGAAATGGCGCTCGAAATATCGCTGCTCGTCACTTCAAAATTTTGTAACAGGTTATATTAGTTTAATACAGAGTATTGCGATATATAGTAAGTCCCAGCTAGGATAGCGGAGAAAGGTTCGTGTTTAGAATAAACCCAGTTCGGAAGTTCTAGTCTCGAAAAATGCACCATAAAACCGCCCTGAGTGAATCACTCGGGGGGGCTCCTCCAAAGAAAAGAATAGGCTTGCGTTGTAACCCTACTCTTGTTGGGTTACGTTATTGTATCTAATGGAAATATAGATTATATATATTTATGTGTCAGTGTGCAGCAGCTAGCGTGCGGCGGCCAGCGTGTGTTGTAGATGAGCATTTGGATGGCATTTATAGGAAATTGTCGGCAATAATAGGTGAAAGGGAGTAGAGAAACATTAAGACTTTGGTAGTAAATAGATTTCGTATTTATTTAACATTATATTTTATTGAAACGCTCCAACACCAAGTGCCTGTCATCTTGGTGTTTTGCTTCTGTGCCTCGTCTATCACTGTATGGTTGTTGGACATACAAACGTCATGGCACAGCTACGGCAGAGACTTTGTTACGGTTGTAGGGTATACTCTACCCGATAGCTAATAAGTCGATTGTGTCACAGTGTTCATGGCATGTACTATCAGGAGTACATAATGGTCGCAATGATGACTCTTCAGAGATTTACAAATTTACCAATAAGTGCCACTCTAATCAACACTATAATCTACACAGACAAAATCTACGTAATAGTGCAAATATCCTTCTCTGTGTAGCCAAAACCATGTTGACTCCTGCTGTACCATTGTACATCCTAGTTTAGTGATATATATGCAACTCTGGCTTGACACTGCTGTTTAATGTTAGCAGCGTAAGTGGTAGGCCTACAAACCTTGATAAAAAAAATGGTACGTTTTACATTCTAAATGCATGCATCTACTCTCTATACAAATTTTATATAATTTACGTCATCTAAATTAGAACTACCAGTACCAATGCATGTAACCACCTTTGTAAACTAATGATCAGAAACCACATTAATCATGATAACTGTCTAGCAGGCACTTTGAAAATTCTAAAATGACATCATTGCTATAACTATTAGAATAGTGTCATTTACATGTTCAGAATATATATGTGTTCACACTTTTAATAGCATTATTTTCCAAAGCATTCCAGAATTTGAATTTTTTCCAGAATTGGCAACCATGTCATTCGAAGAACTGCAAAAACTAAAGGAGACACTTGGTGTAAAAGTGTAAGTGTTTACAATTGTGTATAAACACTTTTAATGTGTAGTTTGTAAATTTATGATATATAGAATCAGGTGTAACCAGGAGTTAATAAAGACAAATGTCTTTATTAACTCCTGGTGTAACTAATACCTTTTACTTACTCCTGATGACATTTGTCATTTGCTCTAACTGTGATTGAAATCAAAGTAAGCTCAAAGCATTGTAACTATTTTATTTGAGTTCATGTGTTTGTTTTGAATATTGTTATACAGCTCATTCTTCGGAATAGTAAACTCATCACAACTAGTTCTCATTAAACATTCATATACCCTTGCATGAAGTTTCACCTCCATGTAATCAAGCCATCAAAGCACATAACAATATTACTATTAGTACAGGGTGCGAAATTAATGGGAGTTCGGAGTCAAATACTCCCTGATTTACTGTCGGACTTCCTGATTTGACATATATGCAGGAGTCCGTGTGTCTCCCTGAAAATTCTGCCATACTAAATAGTTCGTTCTGGGGCACGGCCTCGCGGAATTACCGTATTTTTTCAGCTAATGTCCAAAGAAAATTTGGCACACGTGCAACTGCATGAATCTTAAAAATAAGCACATGCGTTATTGTTAATATCTTTAATTTTGAACCTCAGACTGCAGACGCCCTCATTTTGCTGCGGACTCCCTCTTTTTGAGGGTAGGGAGTCCAGTCCGTTGCACTCCCTTGCTCAAAAATTAATTTCTACCCCTGTTAGTATGTCTATAAGTTCATGCCGAGTAGTTTTTTACTTGGTCTGTCAAATATTTTTGTTTAACCAATGACTCTATTCCTGCCCGTATTTTCTTAGTGATGTGTATTTTCATAATTACCTTGTGTCCAAATTGTGAAAGACATTTTTGTTGTTGTACACAGTTTATTCAGTATTTGGGAAAAATACTTTTTTTATTTCCGAATAGCTACACAGAAACATTGTATGGGAAACGGAAGAAAGGGCTAGAAGTTGATGCAAAGCAGACGCGGAAAGATTTCAAGAGAGCTAATAAGAACAGGCCAACAGAAATGTCTTCCAAGATTCCAGTAGGCAGGCACAAAGATGTTTTCTCTCTAAAGAAAACGGTTTGTAAGATACATGTTGTAGTCTAAATATCAGGGTGCGAAATTAACCGGAGTCCAGAGTCAAATACTCCCTGATTTACTGCCGGACTCCCTGATTTGACATATGCAGGAGTCCGTGTGACTCCCTGAAAATTCTGCCATACTAACTAGTTCATTCCAGAGCACGGCCTCATGGAATCACTGTATTTTTTCAGCAAATGTCCAAAGAATATTTGGCAGACGTGCAACCGCATGAATCTTCAAAATAAGCACATGCGTTATTGTTTTAATATCTTTAATTTTGAACTTCAGACTGCGGACTCCCTCATTTTGCCACAGACTCCCTCTTTTTGAGGGCAGTTGGACTCCCTTGTTCAAAAGTTAATTTCTACCCCTGAAATATACACCAATATTTAGTTTTTATAGATAATTGAAGAGCTGACATTATATGACATTGCGCCGCCATAACAAAATCTAATTAAAGTTACAGTTTTTGAAATATTCTATATATTCTGACCAACACTGCCTATCTATTTACATTGTTACTTTATTTAATGCAAACATGTTTTCAAATGTAAAGTGAAGTTACTATCACATTTAAATTTTTTGGAAGAGTTTGTATATAAGAATGGGTAACAAATCTGGCCTATGTTGAAGTTTGTGTTTTTCTACAGATACTTAGAGATCCCAGGTTCGATGACTTATCAGGGGAATTCAACCAGAAGATCTTTGAGAAAGGGTATTCATTTTTAGGAGACATTAAACAAAAGGAAAAACTGGTGAGTTACTTCACAAGCTATTAGTTGATTCGCGTCTTTATAACACATACGAGTATATTAGTTTTTAGTTTTTCTACATGTATCTCTGCTCTCTAGTCTGCCTCATTGTAGCCCTGTTGTCACAATTTCAGAATCTTCAGAAACAACTCAAGAAAGAAAAGGACCCAGAAAGACAAGAACAGATAAAATTTCTTCTCAAAAGGATGGTAAAGACAGTTTCACTGAAATATACAGGGTTTTCCCCCCAAGCCTTTCATGCATGTCCGGTCCAACATGCCTTCAAAGCTGAAGCTATATGTAACATTCCATAAATCATGCGACATGGCTTAATTGTTTACCTGAGTATTGAGGCCACTTATGCTGAAGGGGTCGTTGTCGTATAGGGTACCTAGGTCGCCTACACCTTCTCCCTAACCCTAATCCTAACCCAAGCCATATCAGATAGTTACCTCGGGTACATATATGTAGTACCCTATACGACAACGACCCTTTGTGCGCCACTTATCACACACCTATTTGAATCCAAATGGTACAACCCCCCTTCTAGGTCATCTCTCATTTGTCCATAAATTACATGCCTTCTGAAATGCCTGTGGGGGAAACCTGATATAGATAGATAGATAGATAGATAATAGGTTTATTGCAAAACTAGTGTTAACAACGTTACAATTTAAATAAATTTTGCAAACAAGATATCATCAGGCAGTATAATACTGAAATTGATGATATTTACAATAATATATGTCCCATGGTAAGATATAGATATCACTTAAAATGTTTGTTCGTAAAATTATATCACTACAACTAAAAACCATCTTTAGAATATATACTAAATTTAAAATAACGTGATCCTTGGTCAAAAATAGTTACAATTAAAATGCGACAATGATAGAATTAAACTTATCACATAACCGAAAGTTGCCCAGAGAGTTATTTCAAAGAGACCAAAATGTTTATAAGGGGGTGCAAGCAAAAGACTAATTATCCATGCTATTGTAAAAAATTCAGTGCCTGTTTACAATTTGTTAATCCACCGCAGGATACCATTGCAGGATGCACATGTACGGAACAGGGCTATTGAAGTACCGGCTGGTACGAGGGACTTTTGCTAGCCGGAGTTTTCTAGAATTCCGTGTTATGCGGTTAGACATATTTATTGCTGAAAGAGGGCAAATATCCTGTAATCGTTTACAACTTTTGAGCTGATAGGCAACATTTTCACGAAGCTGCTTGCGGCGAAACGCAAGTCTTTGGATCTGAAGCTGAGATAGTACCTCATCGTACATGTCGTACCTATTCCAATTATTATAACCTATTATTATTTTCACTTCCCTTACTTGAACAGATTGACGTGAGAGCTGTTTGGTAAGGCCCGGGTGCCAGATGGGTGCAGCATATTCCAGAATCGGTCTGGCGTAACCACAGTAAATTTGTACGAGATCTTCACAGCTAAGCCTAGATGTTTTTAGTATACAAAGCATGAACATTCTTTTACTGGCTCTAGCCACCAAATCTTGAACGTGTATGGCCCATTGAAGACTTGGGTATGGAGCCAAACTGGCGTAAATCAATTTTATGCTGGATGTCGTCCATGATCCACGTGTAGACGAAGTTCTCTGCTATTTTAGCGAAAGTGCAGGTTAGAGAGATTGGCCTTAGCTCATCAATGGAAGGAGGGTACACTTTTGGTATAGGGCATACGATCGCCTGTTTCCAAGCTTGAGGTACACAGCCCTGCAGAAGAGATGCGTTGATTACATCAGCCAGGGGTGTCGCTAACTCAGCAGCGAATTCTCTAATTAGACGTGGCGGAAGGTTATCAGGTCCTCCAGATTTATTAACGTCCATCTTCAGTAAATGACAGTAGACTTGCCACTCCTGCACTGTTGGTGGTGGGAGTGCCGGAAGGAAACTTGGAAGACTATTGTAGTCGAGAGGAAGAAGTCGCATAACAGCAGCGAAGGAATAATTTATCTTTTCAGCTATTGATGATGTGTAACTTGGATCGATTCCAGGGACTTCGATAGTTACTGTTGATTTGCTCATGTTCGCCATGTCTCGGATTTCTGTATGCCATTTAGTGATTAATTGCAATATGAAATTGGAAAAAGTATATTATATTATGGAAAATTGTTTTTTTCTTTATAACAATAAGAATTGCCAAGTAATTTAACCAAATTTTCTATTCTACTAATCGGTAGCAGGGTTCTCCCCAGGATGAAATTCAAACAGGGGGGGGGGAAACTAGGGGGGCGTGTTTTTTTACCGTACCACTAATTAATGCGTAAAATCGCCACCACACCATAGACGGTATTTGGGGTTCTTGTATATATAAGATAGCCGAGTCGGTGTACAGTTAGTATTGGGTGTGGGACAGCTTGACTGTTTGTACTTGTGTATTGTCTGCAGTGCATGCGTGGTACTGTAAAAATACACGCGCCGGGTGTCCTGGTCGAATGGTACTTCTTGACGATCGATTCCCTCGCTGGCAAACTTTTATTGTGGTGGAATTTAATCGCGGCGGAGGTAATTTAAACGGGGCGCAACGATTGAAACAGGGGGGAGTTTTCCCAAACGGGGCGCGCGCGCCCCGTTTGCGCAACGTAGGGAGAACCCTGGGTAGTAAAAGAATTGTTATGTAGATTAATTAACTCAAAAGAATTTTAAATTCATTCTTCCTATAGAGTCTGTTGACATCTCCACTCGTACAATTCCAGGACCAAATTAAATATAAATTTAATAATTCATGACTTCTAATTGTGTGAATTTTTCATATCAGGAGCACCAGGAGAAGGCAGCACAAGACACAGCAGCAACGAATGTTAAGCTTCAGGAGCTCAGGAAGAAAGAAAGAGAATCGATTAAAGATGGGAAAAAGCCTTTCTTCCTGAAGAAATGTAAGTTGAATTGTATAATCCAGTAAGGGAAGTAATTATTGATAATTTCATTACAGAAATGAGACATTGTTGCTCATAGTAGTTTAAAATCCATTAATGGACTGACGAAATATAATACTTGCGATCGTAGCCCATATCTGCGGCCCATTTATGGTGAGGCGGAGTAGCTTATTTAAAAACATTTCTAGTCTCTAATAGTCGAATGTTGTTTGTAGCTGAGCAAAAGAAACTGCTACTGGCTGACAAGTTCCAGGAGCTGAAGAAAAGTGGCAAAATAGAGAAATACTTACAGAAGAAATTGAAGAAGAATGCAGCAAAGGACAGACGCCATATACCAAAGCGGCATAACAAACTTTGATCGTCAAATTGTAGAATCTACCCACAAGTTTTCCGTACTGTACCTTGTGAATTATTGTATAATCTGAACAGAGATATAACAAATGTCATGTATAGAAACTAAGTGATGTCATTTAACATATTTCTGGCCTGAGAATGTCAGTAACAAGGATGTGCACCACATCAATTCCTTTATGTTGTATAGCTCCATAAGAAGTATTTAATGATCGGTCAGTAACTTGCGTTTGTGGAAAATATACAGTGAGATCACGATGTAAAAAGCTGCATTATGTAATTTTAAAAATATGACTTTGTAAATAGAGCCAGAGACTTTTTAGCAAATAAGGGGGTGGTTTGTACAAACCTATAAGCATTTTGTTTCTTCGTGGGAGGTATTAGGGTTCTGACTGAACATGTAGGAATGATCTAGAGATGGGTGTGCAAGTCCCTTGGACAAGTATCGTTAGAATAAGCACAGGTTGTTTCATTGGAGAAAGGATTAACCAGAACATGAGTATTTAAAATGGTACATGTACTATATAATACAAATACCACAGGTTTTACAACAAAGAAGGGCATCAAGATTTAAGAACAAACATTAACGTGGAAGTTACTACTGGATTATACAGCTTGAAATTCTGATAAGAAATGTTGCAACTACTGATTTCTGGCAATCGACACAATTTTGTATGGTAGCAGCAAAAATAAAATTACAACCACATTCAGGCTGAATAACTTTGCAATCTGAGTGGATATGTCACGGAATAGCAAGATTATTTTTTGTACACTTAAACGAGATTTGAAATCTTGCCATCTTTTAATTAATTGCTATCATCTACACAGTTTACACTTGTATCCAATCATACCAATAAAATCTATTATATTACATCGCATTCATATCAATATCGACTTCGTTTTGCTCTGCATTACTGAATAACGTAGGATTAATAATTACTAGCGTGTTTTCATTTTAACTTTATACTACAGCGTTCTCTACTTTCCATTCGTCACAAACTGTACACACAATCTATATTACAAAGCGCTCACATAAAAGCAAGAAACAGCATGTACAAAATTGAGCATAGAAATAAATAAATCCTTACATAATTTACTAAAACTTAACATAAAAAAGTTTGGCTTGCTCCAGCAAGATTTTATCCGAATGTTTCTACATAAAATTTGCTTTAAAACACAGACAGATTAACTTAAAAGAGCTAATTCATATACTTGTTTACTACTTATACGTAGTAGTTGTACAGATTGTACATTTTCCACCTAGCATACTATAAACTGGACATTAATATAAGGTGAACAAAATGTAAGATGTGCAAAACAAAGTAATTTGTTTGTTTGCGAATTGCACATATTACTTTTTGTTTTAAATTTCAGTACAAACAAATAAAATTTTGATTCTAAACATAAAATGTTTCACATATTGCACAAAACCGATTCTACCTTACAAACAATGAAACTTTTACCAGAAAAATGTGGAGCTTCCATCACACCTATATTGCATCTGCATGGTAGGTTATTGATTGGTGGGATTACCTTCTGCACCTGTTGCCAATATTGCATAGTGCCATGAGATGGCACCATTACATGCACATTCAATTCCATTACATTTATAAACCATTTCCCTAATCATGAGCATTCTTTGAGAATTCTAGTACAGACCGAATCGAATCTGATATCATGGATTACGTTGTGCTGTATAGTGGTAGCACCTACATGAATGTGCGGGGGTGCGGGAGGCAATTCTCATTGCCAGGAAGGTTATCTAAAGTTGAAATTCAATCTATAAACTATGGAAAAATTACAGCATAGGAATTTAGTTTTGAATATCAAATTTCAAGAAATTGAAGAGAAACCTTTGTAAAAACTACTACGGTAGCTACTGTAATTTACTGTTGTATCTCCTTTTCCAGTCCTTGTTCCTTCTTCCTATTTCCTCAGTTTTAATGATTAAATTTCTTTTGTATGATTGCTTGTTATTTCTATGTATTATTGGGTATATGAGCTTAACATGACAATGTTATAACAATGTGCCTTTACATCACCGGTTGAAACATTAAATTTCTAAATAGATTGACACCCTACACTGACGGGAACAACAAACGTTCAACAATAATTGAACTGCTGTGCCACAGTGTAAATGACATATTCACTCAGTAGCATTACAATATGGTACTTAACATGTGATGGTGACCAAGTGGTTGTTGCTCTCAGCAACTGTGGCAGCAGTTGCGATATAACGGCCACGGAAGCTTTCAGAAAATTCCCGATTGCCAACTCTGTCACTCTTGTGTCGATAATGGTCACTGGCGTATGTGGTATTAAAGGCAAATTCTCAGGGATTCCTTAGGTGGCTTACCAGGTTTCACCGGCCTTGCTAGGCGCTCATCATGAACATTTACAGCCACAATTACTCCTCAATGTAGTACACCAGAACATGAAAGATGACTGCAGACGAGATTTCCTTTGTACCCGCATGACATCGAGTTACAGGCCAGACAGTGCTTATTGAACAGATACCTCTGTTGGAGAACATGCAGAGTACACACGAAAGCACTTTCACACCGCTCCATGACTGCTGTGCACAAGAGCGTGACACCAGATATTGGATTTGTCCATCAACTTTTCCCTTTCACAGCATCCTGGTAAGATGTGCAATGCTTTCCTTGCACAACCGCGGTTGGAAGCGTCCGTCACTATTTCCTGTTGAACCCCGTGCGTTCGCGGTTCACGTTGCCGGGCACTCCGTTCGGAACGTTTCGCTTCGTTCGCCGCTTCAGCGACAACTTCGACATTTCGTCGCCGAAAACGTCGCCAGTCCGTAACGCCGAGATGAGGTCGTCAAACTCGCCCGGATTCTTCTCCTTGCTGTCGACGCCGTTCACTATCTTGCCGTTCTTTGGCTTAATGTTCTTATTCAGCTCTTTCTCCTTGTCCAGCTTCTTCTTCCGCTCGTGCTCTATCTTCAGTCGTCTCTGTTATGGGTGCAAAATCACGACATTTCAGTAATCACGTCAATGAGCACAGCCAAGCGTTTGAGGCATTTACGGGATAATTTAAGTTAATTTAATTAAGTTACATAGACATGTTATCTTATGTTACGACGGAAACTGGTACCGTTTGAGGTATCTACCACTGGGTTCTTACATGCCATGTGAAGGATTCAAAACGTTTAGACCAGGCTCACCTCATTTTCCTGTTTTAACCGTTTCTCCTCCTCAGCCTGTTTCTTTTTATAGGTATCCATGTCCACCTTCGCATCAGAAGCAGAGACAAGAAACTGGTCGAAGATACCAAAGAGTTCATCTGGCTGCATGGACTTGGAACTCTCACCAAATAGTTTGCATACTCTTTCATACTGCAAAACAATAATTTTTGTTTAGAACACTGCACTGCACATCTAGATGCAATCTAACTGCACACATGGGCACAACATAGTGGTCGCAGAGGTTTCCATTGATGCCATGTGCCTTCATAATGCCTTCCAACAAGACAGCTGAGCTAAAAATAAACCATACACCCCGTATGACAATAAGGTGTTTAACTTGGCTGTATGTAAAACGCTGTATCACAAGCTTTTGTCTCCGTTTAAATTGATATTATGTTATAACGAACTGAAGCTAGAAACTGCTATCATGTGGCAATTTAAATGTATATAAAAACAAACAAAAACATCCATTGTGTGTTGAAGCTGCTATCAGAGGGCAATTTAAATGTATATAAAAACAAAACAAAAAATCCATTGTGCGCATGCCTTCATAAAAAGGTGTGAAAATTAGAGGCAGGTGAGTGAGGGTCACTCGGGCAAGCACTAATCTCACACTCACCCACTGCTTCATATCCTGGCAGGCATCCTCTAGATCTGACAGGTTGAAAGCCACGACCTTGATGAACTCGGATACAACAGGAAGGAACTTGTCGCCGTGTTCCCTTGGCCGGTTCCGGTGGAAGTCCAGCTCCTTCTCCAGGTCCTTGAATCCGATGCGCAATATGTGCAGGTCCTTCTCCAGTTCAGTTAGGCTGCACAGAAAACCAACTAAGTTCAGTATCAAGTGATCATCATTCAGACAGAGGTGGCATGAATGAATTATTTTGACAAATCTCTTTCAGGTGTGTATATATCACACAGACCATTAAACGTTCGGAAATCTTTCCCCTGGTGAGCTTTATGTATGGCCACTCAGGTAATACATCCAGGTGCACGAGGGACTGAAAGGTGCATAATACTTACTGTATACGCCATATTTTTAGCGTACAGATATTTCTGCTAATTCAGACTTGACGCACAATTTCGCGATTCCCGAATCAGTGAAGAACAGCGTGTTGTTATTTTCGCGGTCGGGGGCGCGTTCGCGAAATTCACGAAAATTAAAACACCACCAAATATACAGCGTATACAGTACTCATGACTCACTTGACTTTTGATGCCTGTCTGACATGCTCCAAATCACTGTGGATTTTCATTACATCTGGAAACTGCAAATAATGACTTATGTTTAGTCCTACATATTTGATATCATTGACTGGTTATTTTTAGACTAGTTCTTAAATCTCCAAAGCTTCCTTGGAATGTAATAGAAAGCATTATAAGCATCCTAAACAATAGTAAACATACTAAACAACAGACTCATACCACATATTCTCTAACGACAGCTACCACCTATAGAATAGCACAAATTAGGTGCACCAGAGAAAGAAAAAAACTAAGCCAAATATAATGATAATCCATTTAAAACCATAACAGTTGAGTCGATTACCTTCCGTTCTAATGTCTCTATCAAGTAATGCAGAAGCGTAATGTTCTTGTCAGTGCTGGCCTTTGTGTCGACTATCTTGTTAATACTGGCCAGTTTAAAGCCCATGGCATTACCCCGCTGACCTCGGTTCATGAAGTTTCCAAATGCGAGTATGATCTCCAGTAACTTGCGCAGCCGCTTACTGCGGTACACCTCCTTGGAGGCTTTGTTGACATCTATTCAAACGCACAGATACACATGTTGCAGACACAATTTCAGATTTAAATAGACGTACATTGGTATGGCACCACCTTGGCTACACATTTCAAACCTCTATTAGTTCAATTTTGAATATTGGTCAGCAGTAGCCATACACTGCTAAAGGTAATTGCATTAGTATAAGCATTGTTCTATGTGTTACGTTAACTCATTCCAATATTCCAAATTCTCATGTTCGTGATCACTCCGGGAATTCTGACACCAGACAAAGCGCCCCCAACGCGATCGTTCAACCACTCACTGTCCACTTTCGGTTTGATGTCGGCGATTCTCTCCACGAACTTCTTCCTGAAGCAGATGGCCTTGAGGCGCTCCTCGTAGTGCGTGATGCGGCTCATCTCGTACAGGTAGCGGTCGGCCCGCGCCATGCTGTCGATCTCGTGACTGTGCTCGTCCAGCATCGCCTTCTCCTCCGGCATGGGCACATACTTCAACATCTGCAACACATGCACGAGCGAGGCAGTGAGGACACGGCGTCGAGAGCGATCGTCGACCAGAGGCTCATCGCAACGATTTTAAACGTCCAACATTACTGCTGTACGACTATTTACTGTCAACTGGGAGAAATTAGAGTAATTCCGTGTTTACATGTGAATATCTGCTATAATGGCTTTCTCTGAAAGTTTTCTGATAGTTAGCAATAGGAGATTAATTTTTTGTTCAACACTATTGCCAAGGATATCCGATTACCCTATTGGCACGACGTTTTCGTATAATGCAAATTTCTTTTGGTAATGAAGGCTTTTCTACCACTACTCATACGGCCAATAATTTTGTGCGGTCATGAATTAGTAGCAGTAATAGCAGGCGTAGGAGTAGTAGTAGAGGTACTGCTGCTACTAATACATGACCACACAAATTCAGCGTTATTGTGATAGAGGGCAGCACCTGTTCGCAGAGGTCCTGCGGGATCTCGTCGCGCTCGTCCATGCTGCGCAGCGCCCTCACGATCTCGCTGTTGCTCATCTTCAGCTTCGACAGCAAGATGGTGCAGTTCTGCGCGCGGCGGCCATCGATCACCGACAACTCTCGCTTCTTCATCGACGCCTTCAGATCCTCGTTGGAATCCTCGTGCTGCGAACGTGGTGGAATGAAAGGAGCGTGAAGAAGGCTTTATTTTGATAAAGCCATGGAGGAAAAAAGGCAGGAACACAGTGGGAAGGATGACCGAAATTGGAAGGCCAATGAGGTTCCAATGAGGATGCCAAACATTACCTACGATATAGGGATGCACGAAGATGACGGAAAGTAACACAGGAGAGCAGGTTTATTTCAATAGGAAGGTTAGGGATTGCTCTCATTTGTTTCACTTTTTATATTTGAATACATTGAAGCCATAATATGGTATCTACCACCTGTTTATAACTCAACACGCATACGAGGAGTACACGTGATGAATCCACCTTTTCAAACTGATTTTATAGTTACTGCACAGAAGCAAGATGTGCAAACTAATCACAATAAGAAATAAAGGAACAAAGGATTACAATAATAGCATACCAAATCATCAGCCGATGTCTTCAATTCCACAGGTAAAATGGACAACACAGAGTGAAAGAAAAAATCTGGGTTAGTGAAATCAACCACCTAAACAAACATCAACAGATAACTCGCCCATGGAGGGAATAAAAGAACAAACTATCTTTTTTCCCTCCAATGTTGAAACCATATCAAAATGTAAAACCAACCACAACAGCATTACTACATCTACTAAGATGTACCAGTGAAAGCTATGTCATTTCGAAAGCAAACTAATAAAATTCATGCTTCAACTGCTACTTCAAAAATTAAACAAAAGTAAAAGTGCAAGTGCAACCAGGTACAACGCCCATGCTACTTTAGGAAGTAAAACTCACATCTTACCTACGTTATATACATGCCAGTTTACACAGTCATACTGAAATATTGACCGCTGCTGCCTAAATATGAGGTGTATATAGCTCTAGAACAGCTAAGCACCTGAAGACTAGGTGCCTCCTCAACCCATGCAACTTACTACCACGACCTATAAGTGTGCAGCATTAGGTGTGTGAATTTTACCTTCTGATATGCTGAGAATGTTCTCTCAAAGTCAACAAGGTCCATCACTTTATACAGCTTCTCATCATCCATCTCAGTCCAGATTGTGCCACTGAGCTTATTCTAGGAGGTAATCATAATTATAAATAAAGAAAACAGTGATATATTGTGAGGATGCAAGGATGGCTATTGGCTATCCTTGAGTAGAGAATGTGCTTTATGAAAAGTAAAATACTCAACGTGTAAGTTTAAATGAATGCATGGGTTCTTCTGAATGTAACCAACGCATATATTTACTTACAATCTAACACGAACTACGCATCAAAACTTTGACTATAACCAGGGGTCAATCATAATCATGAACCTTAAGTCATCTAACACTATATCTAGTAGCTTTCTTACATCAGGCAGTTTAGCCCAGTTGAAGGACTTGAGTGGAGCACTAGGCTTTGGAATGTTCTTCTTCTTTATGTAGACTGATGGTGTAGATGGTGCTCCTGTAAAATCACCATTTTAAGTAAAGCAAGATGGATAATTTCCTGTACTCGTGGAGTACAGTTTTGATTCACATTAAGACTAATTTGTGCGGCAAATTATCTAATGCTCAAAACGCTCGTAATTATTAAATAGGCGTTTAACATACCTGGAGGGGGTGGTGGTCCCGGCGCTCTTGGTGCCGATGGTGGTGGCGGTGCACCTGGGGGTTGGGGAGAGGCTGGCCCTCCCGGTGCAGGTGGGGGCGGGGGTGGAGCAGGGCCCGTGGCCGGTCCATTTGATAATGCTCCTGCTATAGGTACACTTCCCTGTAAAATGGGCAAGCCGAATATAGATAATGCTACAGTAGTAAGAAAAGACAGACATTACATTTTCTAGATGACCGTGACCATGAGATCAGCGGTCAGAATTTCATCCACTTTTCCATTCACACTGTTCATGTGATCAGAACTATGGAAATGAATCTAAAAAGCAAGTGAATATTATTTGATATGATACAAAGGTTAACAAAGATCTTGCAGCTATCATTATAAGGATTATAAGGAATAACGGTGCAACAAAGGAGTGGAATTACTTAGGTCAGATGCTGAAAAACTGTAACAAAGTAAAACAGCATGGCACAGCAGATGTTTAACATCAATAAAAGGATACTAGATAGTTGTAAATGGTGAATAAGAATGGATTTGAATAAGATGTTAGATATACTGTTGCTGGCTGAAATAAATAGATGGTAGAATTATGTCAACCTAACTGAAAGGAATATAAGTCCTGTTCTATTCTACAGTGAATAAATATAGAAAGGAAATTATTAATAATACCGACCATGTAATTATAATAACAAAGTGAAAGAGAAAAAGATGTTAATTCCTATCAGTATACAATTATTTGCAGCGACTTCCCACTACTAGAACGTTTTTATCTCACCTATTAATAGTTATAATGAGAAGATTGAAAAAACTACCAATTCAGAAAAATGATATGAGACATGCTAAACAGAGCAGCTATAATGTCTTACAGTCTTTTTAGCTTGATCCAGCTGTACGTCAAAAGCCACACAGAGAAAACAGTTTTCACAACAGATTCAGCAAGCATGAGCAAAGAACGTAAGCAAAGGCTGTTATAAGACAGATTTGGTAACTTTATGTAATTGAGAAATTAAATGACCGACAATATTCACGTTGATACCTGTTAACCACAGATACATATCAGGAGTAGATAATAGGGAATTCCCTATTATCTACTCCTGATACATATCAAGCACGTATCAACGTTATGGAGCAGACGTTATATATTGATAAGCTCTATATAAATCCATGATGATCACCAGCTTATAAAATTATCTTGTGACCAACGAACCCCACCACCACACATACATAGATATAAGTACATATAAGTATATACCATTGGTTAATAGCATAACAAATAAAATGCAACAGTTGAAATCACACAGCTTCAAATGCATATTGTTTTGCACAATTCTTGTTATTCTCCAGATTAACTAAATCTAGTTAAAAACCCTAAACAGCCCTGCTTTCACATGCCAAGCCCCATAAAACATAGATCAATCCAAGTGTTTCACCCATGTTCTACCTAACTATCATTCTCGAATACACAGTTCTCAAGTTTTACTTGCACAGAGAAGGCTGCTAGCAGCACGTGCAGTCAAATTCGCACGTGTGCACAACTCGGATGCCCGCTCTTTCCTAGGTGGACATGACACAATATGTACCTGAGAATAGATCGCGATGCCCTCTCTAATCGACTCTCCCCTGTGGATGAAGCCCTAGTTGACCTCTAAGGTCAGGCATTTCCCAGAATGCACAACTCACCCCGGCGCGTAGATCTCCCATGCGTGCGTGCAACTCGGCCAGCTGCTGCTGCGTCTCCATGTGGCCCAACGATTCCTTTTCTAGCTTAGACTTAACCTTGTCTAAAGACTGACCTATGTCTTCCTACAAATGGTACCAATGCGATGACAAATGATGAGAAACAGGGACCGATCACAGTGCAAGAGGGAAGCCCTTTCCGGAAGACCAACTAGTATCGCATGCACCGAAACCTATTGAAGATTACACTTATTGCAAGCCTGGCATTTTGTATGTTAAACCACACTCCAACCATAATTACTGCACATTAACCAACACCAGGGCAACTCTATCAATTGACAGTATTAGACAAAAATGTGTTCTGTAATTGTGAATATCTTTCTCAACTGAAAAGTGGCGAGACACTAACGAATACACTCCTCACTCATTAAAGGTCATCATAATTGACAAAGAAATTTGGATATAGTACTAAATATCTTTACAGAACATATTTTCAGACGTGTTTTCTATATAATAACTGTTACTGTGTTAGTTCTAGTTTGCTGGGTTATTATGAGCATGCTCATTTGATAAAGCTCTATTACATTTCCAGTATTATTACTACTTTTCCATCTTTAGTTAGTTAGGATCTAAATCTGTTAGACAGAAGTTATGTTAGAATATTACTAAACGGATTCAAAGTCTGAGACGTTACTTTGGGTTTCTGTCCGTAAGGTGGCACGTTTAGTTATGATGAATAGCAGAGCGCAGCCTGCTGGAGTATATTGAAAATATTTGAGGATCTCAGACTTTTGAATCCATGCAAGCAACACCATCGACATAGAAGCACAAAAACATGTAAATTCGTATCGAGGCTATCGGCTATTACTAAGCATGCAAAGTCAGCTACCACATCTATTTGCTACAAGGAATATTTGATGTCCATAAACTGAAATAATGATAAAGCTAACACATAATTGAAAACCATGCATGAATTCACAAACACATATATGATCAATGATCTAGAATGCAGGCATGAAACGTGCGCGATGATGAATGATTCCTGAGTGGACCCTGACTCACGAAGTTGCTGAACTATGGTTCAAGTTGGCATCCAACCAACTCACAATTCCATCAAACGAATGACCTGATCATAATCCAGTGTCGGGATGGACACAGCAACAATTCCTATCCTATGCACCAGTGAGCATAACTAGTACATAACTAGCTGCTTCTTCACCCATGTTGTACTAACAAATAAAATACCTTGATGAAGATATAACACTGTAATGATACCGCTGAGAAAGCTGATGTGGAACCTCAACACCCCATTGGAAGCTTAAGAAATACTGATTCTCAGTCTTTGTTTCCCAAGATTTTACATACCGACAAGCATCAGCCCTACCGGACAATGTACTGACCCCTTAGTCACCAGCTATAGCAACCAAGATGTGTGATATGCACATCTTTCCATCAATGCGTCAACCAATCTGCAGATGATGTATGGACGATAAATAATTGCAGGATCAAAACGCAAACTACCAACAGTTATGTTGTAATTAAGAAACAGGCATGACACTGACAGCAAACTACAGTCTAAATTGCAACGACATGGGCTGAAAATAAAATCTTCAATGCACATCCAGCGACTGTCACAAATAAACCCTGATACACTCACCTTCTACACATGGTATCACAACAAGCACATACCTGATTGGAAATAACAAGTGCCTACATGCTATTGAATGTAAACAAAGCCAAATGTGCTGACAGGAATTCCTCTGCTATTGATGTTTTACATTGGTGTACCGTCTGATCATACTGGAGTGCAATAGCTAGTAGGCACTTATTATGACATATAGAATAAAACAGCTGAAGGATAATCCTTTCCACACCATGTGGCAGTTCTCTTACGAAGTAGCTCATAATATCCTTTTTTCTACACTCCACTACCCATGTCTCTTCCTGGGTTTGGTGAGGAGGAAGAGCAGGGGACTGATACCCGACTCAAAGCGTTGGTATTATCCCTTCCAATACCACCAACAGCTCCATTTTGACAATTACCTGCTGATAAATCTGTAGCTGGCAATATTGTAAAATCACACTACTGCCTGTGAGAGAACTGCAACACAGCATGAGAAGCTCTATATTCTCCGCCCGTAGAACAACACCATGCACGTACATGAACGAACATACAGCACGTAGTCTGTAGCATACGTACGATTTCCCACCTGCAATATGGCACACACACCTGCCATGCAACCGACGCGAACACCGACTTAGTATCGGTGGGCGGCACAGAGGCGCCGTGGCAGGTGGACAAACGCACCATGGTACATGCACGCACATGACAAACGTACATTCTGACAAGCCTGCAGCTTACTCACGCATGCACCATGGTACATAACACACATGCACGTAGCATGGGCGCATACATACACACATGTGAATATGCCATAGCACATAAACACATATTCTTCACCCACCATGGTGCATAAACACATATTCTTCACCCACCACGGTGCATAAACACATATTCACTCACTATGGCACATAAAACACAATGACATGCCCCGTGGCACATGAAACATATTAACATGCACCGTGGCACGTGAAACACGTATACGCACCATGGCTCAGCACATATCCGTGCATCAGACCACGTGAACACATTCACCCGCTGCGGTTCATGAGCACACATCCACGCACCGTGGCCCACGAACACGTATGCACACACCACAGCAGATGAACGCGGACGGACCACGACATGCACCTCGCTTCCATACCATACCTTCTGCATGATGGCATCCTCCAGCTCCTTGTCCTTCTTTGACAGCAGTTCCACCATCTCCTGATTCTCCTTCTCCATCGTCTCAGCTTTCTCTTTAGCTGTCCTAATCTCATCTTCCGATGCAAGCCTGCAATGTGACATAACGACAGGGCATGTAGTCGAGCAAATACAGGCTTTCCCTTCATGAAAACAATTTAGCATCACAGAAGAAGTGATTTTCAATAATTTCACAATCGGTGTTGCATGGACATAATATCCTAACAATAATTATGCTAACGTTCTATTGCAATGTATAATAGTAAAGGAACATACATCTGTACGATTTCCTTCACATTAATTGTGATTGGCTCCACATCCGGATTCTCCCGATTGTCATTCTGCAACACTATTTGCTGCACAATGCGATCGAACAACTGCCAGTGTTGCGGACAAGTGCCAACGTCCACTGCAAAAAAACACAAGAACACCTTAGCTGGTGTTGACAGTAATTAGCTTGCACACATTTGACGAGTGATTCATAAAACCCTGGTCAGAAATCCAGCAATATAGCTAAAAGGTGTGCTAAAATACACAATAACAATAATTTCTTTTTAGTGCGGTGCGGATTTTACTACATTCTATAACGTTATCTACCAAACAGAAAAAACGTGCAGAACAACGTCTTATTAGCACTAATACAAACTGTTACAAGTCACAGAGCTAACGTGACCATAGAACTAGGAGCTAACTCGTTTAATTCCAGTTATGCTGGCACAAACAAACACATTTAAGGTCATTCTAACAGCACATAAAACCCTCAAATCCTTAGGTGCAACTATGAACAATCCACACCGTGTTCAGATATCTAGCCACCGCAACTCTCGTGCTGAAGGGAGTGTGCAGTGTCAACAGGACCCAAACACGCTAGAACACAAACAACACTCTGCGTTCGTCGATCAATGACGTGTATGTAACTCACATGGCAGCAGGAGAGAATGCTCCAGGAGGGAGAGGAAGTGAGGGTAGGCCTCGGTGTGCGAAAGCTTCTTCTTTAGCACGTCAAACATGCTGGTGGCACTCTTCGTGTCGATGTGCACCTTGTTGAAGCGCTTCGCCAGCTCCTTCTCATCCTCGTTCCTCACCATCTCGAAGAAATCGATGTGCCTGCGATACGAGATGCGTGCCATCAGTCCGAGGTAACGTGCGACTCACTCTGACACTCACGCATGCACACACTCGCACGCGCACACGCACACGCACACGCACACACACCCACCCACCCACATACACACACACACACACACACACACACACACATTAGGTAATAGAATGAGAATAATTGCAAAATGCAACAAAAAAAAACAGATGAAATCAGATGGATTCAGAATAAAAAAATACTAATCTCACCTGTCCAGAGTTGCATTTTCGTGCGTGTGTAGTTTGTCTAGGACAGGTCGTATTCCTAACATAAGAAACTCATACCGTAGATGAACACGAAACTCTAGATGGTCCTGGAATTCAAATATACAGTGTAAATATTTACATACCATTATGAACCAAACTAAAACCTATGTATCAGTTCAACATGAACTCTTTCCAGTTTAACTACAAAAAAGGAATATTCATAAAATCTTAGTTAAGAACATGTTGGAATGTTGCATCTGAGAGGCGTAGTACCCATAGAGACGAACACATACCTGGCCTGGACCGTAGTTTATGGCAGCATTGATAAATGACATGATTGTGGTTTTCAACCCAACTTCCTCCCTGTATATTCCAGTACTTTTGTCCAGGTCATTCACTAATGTCTGTAAATTACAAAGAAGCTCAATGTATTAAAATGTGCACAAGTCTCTGGAACAGGTCTCTAAGTTATGGTGGACAGTGGTATCTGACACCATATTATTTCGCAGAAACACATCAGTGGAATATGATACCGTGTATAAATGTTACCATTTGCAACAACGTTTACAACAGATGTAAATTGCTAGAAAAATCATATACTGTCCTATAGCATGTTATATTGACATGTCAAGTACTAACTGCAATCGTTATTGCAGTTTTTCGCTGCTGACGTGAACTGCCATTCCTCTTGTTACTGCATTTGGCTAGGTCACACCACCTGCCTGCCCTGAGCCATCACTAAAACGTGTGTCAGTGCCAGCTAGTGCTACTCAGTTCTCACCTGAAACCGTGTCCGCTCGCAGGCGTATATGCGGTAGTGCTGCATGGCGTCGAGCACCTTCCTGTGGCCGCCGGGCACAAGGCACACTGCACCCAGTATCTCCAGCACCGCAGTCTTCGTCTTCACGTTCTCCGTGCTCAGACTCTGCGCGATGATGTTGATGCTGTCGGGGTGGGAGAGCACGCTCGCCCGGCCTTGCTGCAGTCAACAGCACACACAAACTCATCTAGCAGTTACATACAACGAGATGCTGACTCTGCTACATTGTTGGCGAGTGTAATGTAGATGAGAGCATGAGAGCGTGTGTGCGTGCGTGAGTGCGTGCCTGCATGTGTGTGATTGTGTGTATGTGTGCATGCATGCATGCGCATGTGTGTGTATGTAAATAGATACTTAGATCGTTTTCTAAACATTGACCGTTACCGGTGAAAGTAATCAAGGGTTCGGAGTAGCATACCGAATTGTTCATCAGAGCTTTGATACAGCCGATGACAGACGTATGAATGGCACTCTGTTCTGTCTCATAATCCATCTCCTTAAGGAAGTGCAGCAGGCAGTTCAGTCCATCTAAATCTATAAACCTGGAGGAGAATCATGATGTGTAAATGACTTAGGAAGACGCGATAATTGATTGGATGAATACAATGTTAGAAGCATGTCTATAATATACGATGTTAACAAATATCATGAGTTGTAATCTCTTAGTAGATGTCTATTGTAAGTAGTGTTTTTTCATTTTTATATGTACGTTGGATTCCACATGCTTAAACACACAATTGGTTGAGCATGTGCCACTTTCAGTTGCCAGCATAGCCATCTATATTCTCGTATTTGTAATTCGTGTGTGTTTCCATCAAGGTAAAAATTAACACATGATACGTGTCAATACTCTTTACTTATAAGAAACTGGACTAGGCATTTCACCATGTGACTTTCAATGCGATGGTAATACACAGGCTTCAAATACGAAGGCCAACCATATCGGCAAAGTGTTTGACACGAAGGTACACCACACAGCCTGATATAGCATGATGTGACAGGATACGGCATGGCGTTGGGCTTGACGCAGCATGACACAGACACGTTTGCGAAGCCTCACCTCATCACAAAGCTCATCGGCTGTGTTCTCAGAGCTGTCTTCAGGCTGTCCACCAGCTGCGTCCTTACACGCACCTCCTCCTCATCACGTGGAAACAGCAACTACAGCAACAACATCATCACACATCAGCGACGGAGGAAAACAGCGCGGCTGGTCCGCATGCCCAGAGTCGTCAGCATTGACAACTAGACAAACTACAAGCTATACTGAGTGTTAAATCGAATGAGGATCCAACAGGCGATACTGCCCGACATCCAAGTTTTGAATGTAGCTGCATGATTCTTGGTGGTATCCAAATTACTTATAGCAATACTAGTAAATGTGATGTGCCAGAGCACTGGGCATTCTAATACGCACCACGGCCAAGGAATTGACTCGCTCGATGTAGTAATCTGGCCAGTTTTTGGTACTGGGATCATCCTGTTCCTGAATTAAAAAATAAAAAGTTATCCACTTTCCCTCTTAAATAGCATGAGCCTAAATAAAAGCATGAGCATGAGCCGAAGTTAAAATGGATTCCATTAATTGCCATATTCACAATTTTACTGCACATTTTAGCACGACTCAATGAATTGACTGCATTAATTGAAATGAAATATATTAAAACTAAGCAGGCCTGTCCTAGTGAATGTAAAATGCTACATGATTGGCATGTGAGGCTGGGTATATAGAAGGGGATCATGACAAATAAACCTATTCAATTGCTCTGCAAATATAACTACTTGTGTTAAACACTACTCGGGAAATTTAATAATAAAATGCCTGATTGATGGGATTCAAAGTCCGACAAGATATAGTACGTAATTTCCCTTACAATGTTGGGTAATAACTCTAGTTATACGGAAAATCATCAGTTTTGCATTTTCCTATATATAACACTGTATAACTCTGTCATATCTGATCAGCAAATGGATTCTGCTAGAATGGTGTCCAAGAAAACTGATGCAATATCTCAGAGCAACTAAACCTGCAGTAAATTACTCGGTGAAATTGTAGCCGGCACATTATTTTCAGAATTTTCAATTACCAGCTGCGAAATGAGAAGAGCGTAATTCATAATAAGCGTACGGATTCCCAGAAAGTCGACATTTTTCAGGTCTGTGCAATAATCTATTTCTCAATTGGATCACGTAGATTGTGCACACAAGCAATCCTTGACAAAAGTGGGTTAGTGCGTTTGCACTCCTTCTTATCGATGACAGCAGCTTCATTGTACCCACTATATATGTGTCTGTTTTATGACTAACATCTTATCCGGTAATGAACGTAGACTGGTCGAAATTCTTAGACACGCGTTTCAGTTTTATGTGTCCTGCTTTGATCTACGACGCCGAGGGCATGATTTATCCACCCTTACACATCTCACACGCAACCGGTAGTAAATATAAACTCAACGTGCCAGGAAAGTTAATTATGAAATCATCGATGGCCTTGACAGATTTCGGCAAGTGGCTCTCGCTAGCCTATTTCCGGAATGGATGGTTAGATGTGCTCCACACTAAATATGCCGCCTATATGCGCCAATAGGTATCATGTGCAGCAGGGAAAACTACTAGGCAGATATATGCTTAGGGGAAACTTGTTAGTGCAATTATCACTCTTTCTACGTCTTCGCTAATCCGCTGCTTATATCGTGCAACTCAGTCAGCTCTCAGACAAGGCACACAGGATTGAAACAGAGGTGTTTTTATAGTGTGGATGCTGCGCGCTGTACAGTCGGTCGGGTCCTATCGGGGCTGTGTCATGACTGCCGGGGTGTACTGCCAACGAGAGCCAAATTGCATAGCAACCTTCTTGTGCAGAGGTGAGCGATGAGGTTCGGCTAAGCCTCAGAATCATGCGCAACCTGTCAGCCACAGAGCCTAGGGGAGGTGGCGGTCAGAATGCATTGTTGCTAGGTGCCGAGACATTGATTCGCCAAGCATGCGTGTTGCGTGCGGTGGGGGGAGGGGCATCAATATGGCAATGCAGCCACTGATCAAAGTGCTGTTCTCCCTTCCTTCTACACCCTCCCCCCCTTGTCACACCACCACACCTGTCTGCCTGTCTGCACCAAGTGAGGATAGATTTCACTAGTGTCTACTATTACTGATGAAGATTTTATCAGCATCGGTGAGGGAATTCCGTTCGGCGAAGGAAAATGAGTCTGCGTACTACGGACTAATGCCTTTAGGGAAAGTCGATACGGCAAAACTTATAAACGTGCCGATGAGAATAAACTGCGAAATTGATTAATTTATTGAGACATAAGAAGAAATAGACTACGAGTCGACCATGCAAATGAAACTATGGGGAAACCCAGAGCAGTGAGAGAAGATAGAGGAGGCATATGACAATATGGTCAAGAACCAGTACGGGTGACTATTTGGGCTGTCATCGCATTTGTATAAAAATTATTTAGCGTGATTCGATCACTGGGCCGTTAACCAATCAACTAATATTTATGTATCATCAGTGATTTATTCAGATTTTTCATAATCAAACTCGACTTATTTCTGTGTGCTTATTGGAAAATCTACCCGTTTCTTTGTGCAGTAGATCTGCCACTTCTTCTCGGGCGACAAGTTGAACATCGCTTCCCGGTGCTGTGCCGTCAGATCCAGCTCATCCTGTTATTAGAAAGAGAAGGGATACTTTGTGAGATGTCAAGTGTCAATGACTGGGTAGCCACCTACAGCCACAGTTAATAGGCACCTAAACGCACACATGCATGCAGTAACTACCACGAGCCTGCCCACGATACGAACAAGAGCAGTTAAACCGCTTACCATTTCGTTGTATAGTTTACATATTATACTCTACAGGTGTATGAACGTATGCAGGTCCCATATAGTTTATGTGCTCTTGATACACAACACACAACACACAACACAGCACAAGCACACAATGGCAAGACTCGCCCCGATAACTTTCTAACTCTGCCTACTATTTCTCTGGTAATTGTAGCTCTCAGCTAAACTCATCTCTAACAATGAACAACAAAAATACATCAATCCCCCACACCCAACACACCCAGACACTGCCAGCAGTTAAACACAACTAGGTCACAATATCATCCATCGCCTATTTTACTAGGATAGTGGCTTGGGAATATCCCACGGCACTCACACGGCCACAGGAACTCCACACACACAGCCACGACTAATTCACCCGGAATTAAATTCGGCGACACCTAAAAGTGCCGTTAAAGCAGCGTATATATGTAGCTCTAGCGAGAACTGCTATCTGACGAAACTGGCAATAAAAGTATAGTTTAGATCTCTCATCGCGTTGCAATTGCTTGATACGGCTACACGGCCGGGACGCGGACGCCGCTGTACAAAATCAATGTTCATCTGCAAAATTTGTTTCAGTTCAGTGAGAGATTTGGGCTTCAGGTATTGATTCAGAATTTTGTCGCCATACATCCGTGCCCATCAACACTTAGACTTCACCCAGACCTATAGTCCACGGCACAGCCTTCATCTTCTGCGCAGCAGACGATAAAAATAACCAGACAAAACACTTCAGCCACATGCCGCTGAGTTTTTACCCCAGGCACACATAGCAGTATTCTGCATGAAAGCTTCCTGATCTATCTACTCTGGAAGATCACTCGCCAATGCCCCTGCATTCACGAGGCGCGGTTAAATTGCAGTTGTGGTTTTTTTTTTTTCTAGCTTCAACATATTTATTACAACATGAGATCCGAAAAAATATGTGTACGTTTGCTATAAGTCGTACGTGCTAAGTCTCAGTCTTGGAATGCAGTAAATGTTCCCGGGGTTAAAAAATATTGCATGAACCAGAAAACATCCGCTATATTTTATTGGCTATCGTAAGTGTTTAGACGGATTTTTTGTGCACTATACACATTTCGATGAACATCAATCGGTTAGAAACTCTACGCGAATACGTATTACGACGTGTTACCTACGATCAATTATTTATCCTGTCATCACAACGATATGGTATAATGACACCTTATATAAAAGACTATAGACCAGCATACATATTTACCCATCATTATACAGGTGGAATACGTAAGTGCACATACTCTCACCCACCAATCCATTCACAGAGTAAACTACCCACCCACCACCAACCCACCGACCCATCTATCCATAAGCCCCAATCCATCCATCCATCCATCCATCCATCCATCCATCCATCCATCCATCCATCCATCCCTGCATCCATCGCATGGCCATCCATCATCATACATCCATCCATCTCCATCATTCCATCATGCCATTCATCCATCACCCAGCCATTCCATCATCCATTCCATGCCTCCCACCCATGCCATCCATCCGATCCATGCCATGCTCCATCATGCCATCCCTCCATCCATCCTCATCCATCATCCATCCATGCCATCATCCATGAGCCACGCAATCCATCCATTCGCATTCATGCCCATCCTCCATCGAACCATCCACCATATTCATTCATCATCCATGACCATCCATCATGCCATCCAGGTCCATCATCGCGGCCATCCATCATGCCAGTGCATGTCCATTCCAGACCAGTCAGTCCAGTCGCATTCCATCCAGTGACCGAATGCGCGATCCATGGCGCATCCAGGCCATCTCATCCATCCGATGCCAGTGGGACCATCCATTCCATCATCCAATCCATCCCTTAGCCATCCATTCCATGCCATCCATACCATCCATCCATCCATCATCCATGCCATTCCATCCATTCCATCATCCATCCATCCATCATTCGCAGTGCCATCCATTCCATGCCATGTCATTCCATACCATCCATCCATCCATCCATCCATTCCATCCATCCAGCCGTCCATACGCATCCATCCGATCCATGCCAGGCCTCCATTCCATCACGCATACCATCCATCCATCCCTGACCCATCCATCCATCCATCCATCATCCCATTCCATTCCATCCATCCCATCCATGGCCATCATACCATCATGCCATCCATCCATCCAGCGCATTCATCCCATCCATCCACCCAGGCAGCCATCCATGGCCATGTCTATCCCGAGTCCATTCACCCACAACGAAGACCACCCCGCCATGCCCATGCCCATCCATCCATCTAGCCATCCATCCATGCCATCCATTCCATCCATGCCATCCATCCATAGCCATCCATCCATCCATGCCATGCCGCCATCCATCATTGCCATCCATCCATAGCATCCTCCATCATCCATCATCCATTCACCGCACCAACTCCACCGCACACCATCCACCGCACCATCCTTGCCATAGCCATCATCCATCCATCCATCCATCCATCCTGGATTCCGATGTGGTGGCTTCCATCCGCAGCACCAAGTCTCATTTCCATCATGCGTCCATCCATCCATGCCATGCCTATACCAGCATCCCGCACCGCCATCCCATACCATTCCATGTCCCGGGCCATCTACCCGGCATGGCCTACCCATCCATCT